TCGAAGCATGGAAAGTGAGGGATGCCCTTTCCTTTACATCCGAACGGGGAGAAAATACATAATTGCAATAATAAATAGCGGGTTTTATGAACAATTAGGATTCCACTGTCTCTTTGAAGGGTTTGAAAAGCTGACACGATGTTTTGGGTTCTCCAGATTCAGCTTTGAGGCCTCAACCAAAAGAAACATTCAGCCCCGCTGTGTACAGCAGTGACCACAACAAAGATTGTGGTTTCTCCCACACTCGCCTTAAATAGATCTAAATTAATGCTATTCATCATTGGGTGGAAAAGAAGGGAAATATAAAAGTGCAGTCGCTTGTAGACAAGCCAGCAGCACTGGGCAACTTTCTTCCCATTCCACGGCTTCTCCTGCTGCTGCACCTCGACGCCCGCCGGAGCGGGGAGGTACGGAAAGAACGCGCCCTTATACCGGCCGAACCCATCACCTGGAAAACATCCTGGGCATACGAAATATGTCTTTATCCCGTGTTTATTTATTGTCGGTGTTTGTTGTTGTTGTTAGAGAAAGGGGGAAAGCTAAAACCACATGACTGAACGCCTGCCAGGGGTTCGTGATAGAGCAGAGCGTCCCGAGTGCCGCACCAGTTAGTATGTGAATTATCACGGATACTCACCGGCTCAGTTACAACCGCACGGGGGGAACAGTTGTCCCACCTAAATCCTGCTTCTGTCAGCTACCGCCCTGCCCGCAGAAAGCAGTCGGTCCCGCTCCCCGGAGCGCAGAGCATCAATAGATGGAGATATCTTTCTGCGCCACGCGGGGCGTGCGGATGGCCGCGGCTCGTGCACGCCCGTGATAGGTGGGTGCGTGAAATTTGGGGTGTCGAGGAGCTGTTGCTGTCACCTCCCCACCTCTCCTGACTCAGATATAGACCCAAGCTCCCACCACTGACTTTTTTGGGGCACCTTTTATAAGGCTCTAGCAACATAAAATCTGCCTTCTCCTGGTATTCCTTGAGGGCAAAAATTAGAATACGAACGCTGGAATAAGAATATGGGAATAAGAGAGGTCCTAATTTCACTTTCTTCTTTAAAACTATAGATGTATCACCATGGCAAAAATTAATAGCGGGGAAAAAAAACCCAAACAGCCCTATGAGCCCCCAAACATTAAAATCTCAGCTGAACACTGTTCAGGTTCCCCCGGGTGTGCACAGGGAGCCCTGTACAGGGAAAGGGTGTGAAATACCTGCTGAGTATTTTGTGGTAAGAGTAAGTGTAATCTTTATGTAGAAATGGGTACAGACTTTTAACATGGCAAACAAAACTTTAAGGACTGTTTTGGATGCACGCTGGAAGAGCCACGAGCTAGAAGTAGGTTTTCAAAAGCCCTATACACAGAGGGAAAGTCACGGATGCTTTAAAAGTCTTCAGATACGTGTAAAACCGACATATAGGCTACATATTATCTCTACAGAACAAACACCATTTGAAACGCGTCCCTTTTTAACTACTGTCTAAACTTGGGAGGAAAGGAGCAAAAAAAAAAAATACCAAAACCCAAAACAACAAAAAAAAACCCCACTGATCTTACACCTGCTCTTTAGCAGTGGGAAGTGGGTTCTCAATCTGTTAACATGACCATCTGGCCAATCTGCATATCACGGCTATCTGGATTACCGTACGATGGAATGACAATAACGTCACCCAAACAAAAGTAAAATGCATCAAAAAAACCTCACAGTCGCGCAGCCCTTTTGATTTCAAATTAAATAATAAATGTGGTATCACAGCAAAGATGAGGAAGTCGGCTAAATAATTAAAAATGAGCCTTCGCTACGGCATAATTAAGTAAACAATATGGTGTGTGTGTGTTTCTATATGAGCCGGCAATAGTTTTCAATTCGAACGCTCCACTTTTGCAAAGCAGCTATCAGGAGTTCCAAGATGCTGCGACAGCTCTTTTGGTGATGTACGGGATTGTCAGGACATCCCCTCGCATCCCTGCAACGCGCCGAACCGGCTGCGGCTATTAACAGGATTAATGCAGCAACAATCAATACCAATCGTACTAAAAGATTATGGCGCAAAGCCTTACGTGCCTTTCGGACTCCCCCATACCTCCACGGGTATTTTTTGGCTATCTGCAGTCGTTTTCTGCATTAACCAATCTTTGGGTTATTCCCATCGATGCCACTCTTTGAGGTGGTCCAGGTAGAAATATTTAAAATCTGCCGATGGGAACGTAAAATGGGTCTGCTTAAAGTTCAAGGTCATGTGCTATATGCTAGTGCCCAGGCAATTAGCAATAGAGCATATTCAGGCGCTAAGTAAATTTTCACAGACGAAGAAATAAGGCTGATTCCTTGCATCTCCGCTGGCTTCTATTCTAAACGCAGACAGGAAAATGAGCTCATGTAAATAAAACTCTATCCCCAGATTTTGTATTAAATTTGGGATTTTTAAATGTCCTTCTGGACGATTAAAAGATTTTCTCTGCCACAAATACCTCGCTACCTTAATTCGCACCCAAAGCGTGTAACGATGGCCGTCCAAAAAAATAAACCGTGCATCGCAGCATCGCCTCCTGGCCTTGCCACCCAGCTTCATCTGCTGGAGAAGTCTCTAAAAACTGTGACCTCTCGCAAAATGTAACTATTTCCATTGTGACGCTTTTCTCCAATCTGATCACATTAGCAGAAGGAACTCCAAAGCAGTAAAAAACTCCAGAAAGTTCTCGGTTGAGTGCCTACTAATGAACAAAGGTTAACTTTATCTAAAAGGTCAAATGCCTGGTGGCTAAGGTTGTGACCTTAACAACTTAAATTGTGACCTTGCCACGTGCCTAGTATATTGTAGATTCTGATACAGATCATCTGGTAAAGGACCGGTCATAAATTAGCTTTACTGTTTGACTCCCACAAAGAAAACGGTTTGCCACAATGGTTTCCAACTTGTCATTTGATACAAGCGCCGAATAAGTGAAAACTAAAAAGTGAACCCAAGTTCAGGGTATGAAAATGCCGCCTGCTTTTACTTAAGCAGATTAGAAACTGCAAACTGAGAGCAATACTCTAGATTTCAATACATTTTTTGGTCAACCTCTAATTCACAAAACACCGATCTTCCTTCCCCATTTTTTTTTTAATTTCCTCTTTTTTTCTTTTTTTATTAAAAGAAAAATGACATGTAGTTTGCCTATTTGCATATATTTGTTTTCTCTTCCTAGACAGTTCTTAAAGAGAATAATTGATTTCAGTAGCTTTGTAAGAAGCACTATTTAAATCTGTGCACATGTGTTCCCTTACAGATGATAGTGCCTACTGAAGAAAAAGCGTGGATTCAAAGCAATAATTATCGTACATGTTTAGAAGGAAAGGGACATCTCACTGCCGAAGTCATCTCGAATAAGGGCATCTTGGAAGAGAATACTTC